TGGTTTTGACAAAATTGGAACTTTAAATGCTTATAAAAAATAACCATGATGCCTATGTATCGTTAATATTTTAGCTATAATAAGAAAACTAACGTATTAGGTACATTTTTAATCTTTTTGACCTAATATATAATTTTTTATTGACAATTATAGAAAAAAAATTTTAATTAATCAAATACAGTCCAAGTGACGACGGTATATAACCAAGCTGGTTACCAAACAATTTTAATCAATTTGCATTTTTTTTCTCCAATTATTTTTAAAAGCACTAAGAATTTTCAATTTCGAACCTCCTAAAAGTACTAACTAGATCCGATTTGCTTCCAAAAACACACACTGGGCATCGATGCTTATTGCTTATGATCAGAGCATTTTGTCTACCAGAAGAGTTGAAAAGTTACAAACATTATAAAATACCCCAAATAAACGTCTAAAATTATTAGACTGGACAAAATAAAAATTAAATCGTAACTAATTTTCAAGCCCCCCCCCCATTGAAAAATCCTGCGGTCGCCAGTCGCCACTGATTATACAAACAACTATTGAAATAATTTTCACGACATAACATCATCCAAAATAATATTTGTATTTTATAAGTCTAAAAGCTATAATACCATATACAATACTAGCTAAATATATTTTGTAGGACACTCGGTTGGACAAACATCTGATACTTAATATATAATTATAAATATTATAATAGTTAGAGGTACCTACGTAAGTACTAAGTACGGTCGTATTTAATGCTATGGTTAATTGACCAAGTATAGGTAATACTGTAACAGTTGAGTTAATCATTGATTTAATGACCTTATGATATTTGTGGTACCTATATTTTTAGATTGTCGTTAATTCAATACATTTGTAACAGGGAAACGGAATTGAATCCACTACGGCATTGACAGGCGTTTGACCTTTTATGTGTGAAGTATAATACACTTATTATTATAAAACATTTAAACATACCATTAATATTATTACATAGAAATTATTATAATTTACTTGACTGAAACGAGTCCCGTACCTACAGACGTTGCTAAAGTCTGGTCGTTTCTCATAATGGTGTGCAACCACGACTGAAACCAAACGCGTTGGTTTTTTTTTTTTCTGTAATTATTTAGTTGATTCCGACTAGTAAGTGAGTAATAATTTGTATACATTATAATATAAACATATTATTTGATATTACACGAAACTATGAACGTATATTATAGAGGAAATGACAAGAGAAGTCGGTAAATAAAACCATAGAACAATAACCTATCCCGTCGTCGCGGATTTTTTTAACCCAACGTCGTTTGGCGGTATTTTCTATTTTCGGCTGCCTACACTGTCGCCGTTCCAGGCTTACGCCATTTTTCGTCCTTCTTATCACGCTTATCATCAATCGGGGGCACGGAAAGCGATCGAATTCAGGGTACCTAATTTTAATTATTAAAAAGACGTCAGTGCCGAGAACGTCATTCGTCGGGGCCGAGTCAATTTTTTTTACCGCTCCGTCTCAGTTTATCCGTTTATCGGGCACGGTATTTTTTTCATTGAAATACTATTAATTCCCGAGCGTATTGTTTCATTTTTCGCCCGATTAACGACAACGATGACGATATCCCTACACGATAAACGTGTAGCGATCGTCATACTGCAGTACAATTGTTACTGTTGGACTTCGGACGTCGTGTCGTCCCGTTTCAAACGCGTGTTTAATTGGTGATTGTTGTTATTGTTGTTAACAACACCGACACGCGGCGGCCGTCCGGATTCGCGTAATCGACGATTGCCGCAGTGCGCAATAAACAACAGCCTTTAATAATCGTTATCAATTAAGTGTTCACGCGTAACGCGTTCGTTTTCCCTTCCGCCGTGCCCCCGTTCGCGTTTGTTTTGTTTATTTCGTATTTATCGTCCGCCGTCTCACGTAAGTCGCGGGCAGTGGGGAACTACGCGCCGCAACCAGTCCGCCGGAATCGCACGCACGGGCCCCCGTCCCCACCGCGTTCGGTCGCGCAAAACCGTATAAATATTTCCGCTCGTCGGTGAACGGGCACCAGTGTCAATCGACGGTTGTTCATAGTCGCAAACGGCCACGAGTGCAAAGGTATTCTTCAAGTCGTGTGTTTTCGTTGTATGGGTGAGTGTCTACCACTTTAATATTATAATAATATATGTTGTAAATTCGTAACCAGATACCATCACAGACGTATAATAGACGTGTCACATTGTACGTCTATGCCTAATACTATGTGACTGTGCGATGCGTCGTTTGTACAATATATTATAATAATTTACGGTTTTGCCGTGCTCGGCATACCGAAATATTATGATAACATTTGTGGTACTGTACGACGTTGACCACCGTGACCATTAAATATGTGTACCGACATACCTCGTTACCGACCTACGGGTAGGCACGTACTCGCGTAGGCGCCAAGTGGTTTTATTATTTATATATTTTATTTCCGTACCACGTCCCACTCACACCGGCTCGGCCGTCCCGTTTCGGTACAGTTCGGTTCCGAGGGCTATTCCAGTGACCGTGTGTAAAAACATTGATATTCATGACATCGTTATACCTAATAATTATTATTATAATAGACAGGTACAATGGATATTGTGTATTAACGTGTATCGCGGTCACGGACGTACATATTATAACATTAACCGTGTGAATGTTCCCACCCGTGTCTTGCCGCCGAACGACGATGGCACTGTGGAAGAGTGAGTGTTCCTTGGCCCAATTATAATATTATGTTTCAATCTCGTATATTATTCTCGAATGGCGATCCCCGACTTTCCAGTACCGTCGTCCGCGGTTGTCCACCACAACCGCACTGTCCCGATCGATTTGTCCGTGCACTTTCGATTAATACCTATTCACGATAATGACTACTCTAATGTCGTGTCCGAGTTTTTTATCGATTGATTTCATTGAAATTCACCAGAGCCCACCACCGACGGTATTATACGATTATTGCTGCGATTTCCAGTTAGTAACAATAATATTACCAACAACAATAATATTACCAACTCATTACTTATCCCGAGCTGCTGGTGTCGAAACTGTGTCGAAACGATTGTGGTGATAAAAAGAACTATATTCATTACGTTTATAATAATTTTCCATTACTAATTGTTCACCATCAATCCGTATTGTACGCTTCGTGTGGTCATTACCATCGATTTGACTCGATTTAAGTATACTTATCAATGATATTACGCATCATCGGTTGATTACGATTATTACATAAAAAAATATCGTTCAGAATATTAAATTTCATTATAATATAGTCACTATAATATAGTCTCGAGTTGTAGTTGGAATTTAATCGCTTTTCGTCTTGGAATTTTTTCATTGAGATATCGCCCCAACAGGTTATTGCCGTCTTTATTTTGTACGAAAGAAATATTAACGAAAATTTAAGTTTTTAGTACATAATAATTAATGAGTGAACAATAATAGGTATTTTATGTATGCGATTTTGTTTAATATTTTAATGAATCACACGTTAATAATAGATTTATGAGTGTTCCCATAAATTTTCTCGATTATTTGTTGATTGTTAACTATAATTTATTAATTATTATTTACGTATCTGGTTCGGACGTCGTGTACAAATTATGTTTCTGAAATTCATTTTAGTTCTGCTGATTTAGCATTACGTCATTGCATTGTACTCGTCGTTTCATTTTGTTCTATTTACAAAACATTTTTTTAAACTAAAATGTGTGATAATATGCATCGTACCATAGGCAACACTGTTTAATGTGAAAAACAATTAATTGATTTTTTGAATTATTTGCAAACGAAATATTATATTCATAGATGATATTCAATAATTTATAATTTATTGTATTATAGAATATAGATGCAATAATTTATATAATTAATTACATAATACGTATGACTCGACGTATGAGTTTTTATGTATATGTAACAAAACATTTAATATTTATGTAGTCACAATAATTTAATTGTTGGAAGTATTATTATACTGTGTAGGTAACAAATAAAATGTAAGACTGTTTTATGAATACAAAAATATCCATACCACTATTGTTGTTCACTTTTATGCTATTTTTTAATCCAAATTCTGAACATAATAAATTATTTTAGACGTTCAGGTCTATTATTTTCTAAAAACACATTCATATAAATTATATAATATAAATTTAAATTCTGTGTGCATCTTTACATTTATTTTATTTGTGTTTAAAGAGCGTGAGAAAAAATTACTAGAAGTAGAAGGGCCTGTTGGCGCTGCAGAAGACAGCTGCTACAGGGATGAATCCAGCTACATACCAACGGTCGGTAGATGGGGAAACGAATGGCCGAGTTGACTCGAAACCCGGCCTTCTCCTGACAACCACAACAATGACGACGAGTATACATTTTGGCTGAACTATGGCCAGAAGGCGGCCGACTGGCCCATTGGTCAGCCCGTGCCCTTGCCGAAATGGGGTAGTTCAAGGCCACCCCTTACGGTCAGCTCGATCGAGGAATATGAAGAGCTGACCAGACAATTTGAAAATGAAGTACAGACTTTACTTCAGGCATATAATTATGATTCAACAACAAACTTCATCAAGTAAATAAAATATAAACATAATGTACTTACACAATATCAGAACTTAAATTATACTTTTATTTTAGATTTTATAATGAATACAAAAATGGAAAATGTGATACCTTGGAGAACTTCTTCAGGGAATATAAACCACCATTAACTAAAAATGCAAGTACCTGTGTTGGACTTGGTTTATTATTGATTGGGAAATTAGCATTGTTGGAAAACAAATTTCCCGGTGTTAAGAACAGTCTTTATTTAGTATCTTGTGAGGAATCTATAGAGGTTAGTTTTAAAATTGGTGCTTTTTGTTAATATTGGGGTTAATATACACATTTCTTCTAAGAAACTTACATTATTTTTTCTAATTTTTAGAGTCATGAGGGATACATAAGTAATGACTACCCAGACCCATGGGTTAGTGATAAAGAGCATGTTATGGTTGCTATGCAAATTGAAATCAATGGCCGTGGTGGTGTGATATTGCTGGATCCAGGTTATCAAATCGGTAGAGTCATAACTGTAATGGTTGATCAACAATATCCTCATACTGGTAAATATTTTCACAAACAATGTCTATTATTTATTTTAACTTATAATATCATGTTTTATTTATTAGGTCGTTTTGTACCATCATCTTGTCCGCAAAAAGAGTACTGTTATCAAACAATGGTCGGCGAAAAGTATGTGCAATGGTCTGTATGGAATGGATCAAAAAAACCAGAAACCAACCTGGTATATATAGGGGCGTCTTATCATTCACCGGTGTCTGTCACCGAACGTCGAAATTTAGTTTACAACTTTAGAAGCTTATTGGCCACCGATAGAAAAGGTCATTTGTTGGCTGGTGTCTATTTCAAAGCAGCACCACAGTCCACATTCACATTGTTTTGCGATGATGACCAGGATTCAACAATTAAACACCGAATTAAAGTTCCATCTGCTAAACTTATTACATTAAATGTAAAGAAAACTAAACTTATTGTTAAATTGGATCATGTTTATTTAAATTAAATTTTTTTTTTTAGGAAGTCAATAACGATGTCGAGAAGATATTAGATACATGTAGTAAACACCTTAAGATGACTAAGGTTCAGTTTCGTAATGTATTATCTGCACTAGCAAAAATATTAGAAGACAAAGATTTTCTCGATCAAATGTGCAAAATTAATGATGATATATACAAACTTGGAGTTGATGAAAATAACAATAATGAAGGCGCTACTAATTATAATTTATCCGGTTAATTTAGCGTTCACAATTTTATAAAAATATTTTTTTCTTTTATATATTTTACTAAATTATAATTTTCATAAGTGGTATTAGATAGAATATTTTCTAGTTAAATATTATACAGTAATTTTTTTTCATTATATTATTATTTAAGAACTAGACATTTTAGTTGTACTTACAACGGACGTGGATAAACATTTGATGTGAAAATAAATATTTTTTTTGTTTGAACAAATTATTTGTTTTTTTTATTTATATGTTTATTATAATTATAAGTATTAACTAAAAGCTAAGCTTTACCAGCAAGAATTGCAAGTTGAATTCTATAAAATCAATTAATCACTCACATATTACGTATACAAAATAAAAATAATTACCGAACATGAAGAATGATCTAATCCTTTTTCAACTTAAAATTCTTATAAAATAATTAATATTAAACATAGCCTATTTTAATGTCATACTCTTTCACACCCTTTCCTTAACATTATTTTATGGAACACAGTTTGAAATATAATTTGTGAATACAATGAAAGTGTAAAATTCTATATTATATAATTAATGGAGAATAAAAAAAAATCGCTAGCTTAACTTAGGCATCATTTACAGGATATTGTTCGATCTTTTTAGGGGTTCGCTGCTTAGCTGCACGTTTTCTTCCTTGATCTTGAGGACCTTCTACAGCCAACACCTCACTGCAAAAACAAAATATATTTACGTTTAAATTGGAATACTTAATACTATAAAAAAAATTTACCATCTTAACTTATATAAAAATTAACATAATAACATGACAAGATATTGTCACAACTTACTAAGTATACACAATATTCATGGCAGTTATTGATCTACAACTTGCACACTTTTAAAATGTATTAATATAAATTGAAAATGTTGAGGAAACATGAAAGGTATTCATGTAAAAATTCAAGACTATTTTCAAAAAAATGTGACCCAAACAGAAGAGCATATATTGTGATACAATCAGAATGTAAGCAACTAAATATTGCATAGTTTGTTTAAAATCCATTTGGATTAAAAATAGTTTAAGAGATGCAAAATATATGCTATACGAATGGATTTGGAAAAAGGCCCACCACCATGCAAGCTGTACCATATTTGTTACAGATTGCTAATTAGATCATATACATAGTATTAACTGTTCATCGAAAGCACGCCGATTCTGCGCATCCCTCACATCATGCTATCAAAACCGGTTCCTCAATGGCAGGGTGTTGAGAGAGGGAACCAGTTTTTGTTGGAGCGGTTTCTAGCTGAACAGAGTATAGGTAGTATTATTCTGTGATTTTGATTTTTTTATATCATGAAATATAATTTTATAATTTTTATTTATAACTATCTGATTAAATATCTAGAGAAATTAAATAGTTAAATTGTTGATAGATAATATCACTTATAATTGTGGAGCTAGTTTATAGATATTTACTATAGATTTAAAACTGAAGATTTAACGCCGTTATAAATCGTTACTCCCATTATGCTCAGCAAAAAAATAATTGTTTTTATATCAATTATTATAATATGTTTTTATGTCTCAAGTAGTAAGTGATGACAGGTTGGTAAATTAAAGTAGAATATTATATTTATTATATTGATATAAATTGTAAATTAATTGTTTTTGAAGTATCAATGGCTTGACCCACTGTCACAATGGGCCTATATAAAACACCTATAAAAGACACATTATAGCAAGTTCATTTTTTTTTTATGATGTGATTTTAATATAATATACTTTAATATTGTCAGTATAAATATTTTAGCTGGAAAAAAAATTATATTAATTAATGATTTATAAAATGTAGTTATTTATATATAGATTTATCCAAGGTTTTAATTTTTACCCTTACCATAAATGATTTTGGGCATATAGTTTTACAATTTGTCTATTAATGTATATTTCTTATATGAAGAAGTTTTGTGATCTTTTAAATACCAATACTGAGTTTAGTAGATACTTAGAATTGATTACAATCAAATGATTTTACATTATTATATGATACTAAAGAGAATTCCTGACATTGACATAAGTGATTTAATATTTTTATATTTTAACATAATATCTAATATTTCTTTGTGTACACTGTTCATAATACCAATGGTTATAAATACTATAGATTGCTTGCTCACTGGCCGGTTGCACGAAATATTTAAACCAGATGAGGTGACTTGACTACTAGCGATTACAACGTTACCCAACATTACTAGCCACAAGCCAGTGCCCAATAACATGGTCGCCCAGATTAGTAGTGCCGGGTAAAGTTGTAATCACTAGTAGTCACATCACCTCGCCATCTACCAGGGTCCAGGAGTAAATATTTTTGTGCAATCGAAAAACCGGTCAGAGAGCAATCTATAGTATTTATAATCAATGATAATACATACATTTATTTTATTCAAACCAATTTACTTTATACCTTAATTTATGCAGCTTTTGTCACCTATTAATGTGACACAAATTGATCACATCAATATTCAATTGAACATTCCAAGTAAATAAGAAAAATAAATACCAAATTTAAACGTGTTTAGCATGCTATAAATTTTAAATCACCTGACAAAACTGTCTTATGATTTCTAATACAACCAGAGGCATACTGAACAATTATTAAACTTGAGGCAATACAAACACTTAAGAATAAACTTATCAAAAATATTCTTTATAGCAAAATAACATTGTCATATAATATTATATAATTTTGTATTTTAAATATTTTAATGGATTAAACGCCCCCACCTATGTTAAACTCGAGGTCATTGTCTCGAAAAAACATTCTTCAGTACACCACTGAATACTATAATTTAATTTTTAATATATAATATACAGCAATAATTTATAACTTTTTAAGATGAAATATAAAAATTTAAACTAAACAAACTATATATTTAATATTAATAACATTATATGTAATCATTGATGTATTAAAAGCCAACTAACACAATTCATAGTAAAAAACACATTCGTCCTCTATACATTTTATAAAAAATAATAATAATAATTAATGATTAGTTTATAATTACTACACATACCTGATACGTGCTGTTGAAGGAGGAGGAGGAGGAGCTATAGCCTTGAGATTCCTTTTTAAAGGAACTGAAGAATTTTGAACTCTAATAAAACATAAAATCAAAAAAAAATAATACCAGTGTGTACAAACATAAAATCAACTAAAAATATTATAAAGTGTAAAAGTATATAGAGGTATAAACATCTAAATTCCTAATAAGCAAAATTAAATAATAGTGCAGTGATATAATTTTATCATAAAAATAGATCAAACTTAATTTACATTAAAAAAAATGTCTCTCGTTGATCAATTACACATTAAAATAAAGCTTCTAAACATGCTTAAATTTTGAAAAAAATGGAAGTAGCTGTGCTGCATATTAGGTTTTCAGTATACAGTGTACCTCATTATCAAGTATTGCAGTGTTAAATTTAATTTGAATGATAAATCATATTATGGAAAGAAAACCAAATATTTTAGTGGAGATGGTTTGCCAACCTTTACTTAATTTATTATATGTAAGTATTGGTAATTTATTTATCGATTAGTAATATGGTGGGATGAACTAATAGTCATATTTTGACATTATTTTAATATTAATTCATACAATATTAATAAATGTTATTAAATTATAAGTTAATGACATACTATTATATACCGATTAAAATAGGTTTATGGTATCAATAACTTAAAATTAATCATAAGAGCCACACATGTGTCGTCACTGTTTTACAAGTGCGTAACATACCAAATTTAAAATTATCACATTTAGCTCCGTTAGTTTAAAAATTAGAATGATTCGACCTATTATGGAAACTTGATGGTAAGATTAAAGATAGTATGGTTGCACATCAAACTATAATAAAGTGATACTCCGAGTTTCCTCGTTGTCACAACGACTAGCGGAACCGAGCATCGGAGCTCCAGGCATTGAAATATTGAATCATATATATAAATCATATAATTGTGTGCCTAGTAGTGGCTAGTACTAAATTTTTACTCTATGAGAAATAGTATAAGTTTCTAGAGTAAAGAAACTATGAGCATCATTAAATTGTTTCTTATCATAGTTCGTTGGACAACCAACTATCTTTAATCGTGCCTGTGTTAGTATGTTAATTTTAATAATACAGCGATATAATATTATAGCGTAAATTGAAATTGATCATAACTCACTTAAAAACTAAATAATCGTAAATAACCAACATACAAACACAAATAATGTTATTACCATCAAATTTCATAACAGGTTGATTCACTTTAATGTTCAAACTAACAAAGCTAAACATGATCTACTGAGCGTACATTTTCCATGTTAAGCACTTATAGACAGAGACCACACATGCGGGTGTGGCATCCTCTTAATATTTTGAAAATTTCATAATATACCAGATTACTAGGGTAATAATAGGTATAGGTGTGAAAATTCAAAACGTAATGAATATAAAACTTATTTTAGTGATTATACAAAATGTAGTAAAAAAATTGAACTTCGACCAATTATAAAAAGAAATTGTGAATATGAATTTTTCATATTTTTTAACTGTGGAAGAACAACATAATATTAGGAACCTTGCAATTAATTTACGAGCTTTGTTATTCACAAACAAAAATGTTCATTCATCAACAATAATCATTTTACCAATATAAATTGAAGAAAAATAAAAAAGTTTAAAAAGTCAAATATATAAATATAAATAGCACAAAAAGTCAATATTATATTGTTTACCTTATATCTTATTTAGAAAATGTTTTCTTTAAATGTCCATAAATAATTTTATTTAATAATTTTATTTATTTAATTTCACTCCATCTAGGATCTAAAATGTATTATAAATACATTTTTGGAAATATTTTTATTGAAGTATGAGGCTGTAGTTTAATTGTACTTATTTATATTTAAATAGAAGATCTCTTAGTTAATAAAAATACTAGGATGCAAAATGCAAATCAACTATGAAACAATTTTAAAATATTAAATTATGATTTTGTTAGCTATTTTATACTTAAATATTATATCAATTAAAAATGAAAATCTGCGATAGTGAATTTAGTTGATTTAGACGTTTGTCCATTATTATTTATTTACCTAATATAACTAAAATACTTACTAGTGTAAATGTTATGTGGATTTTACTATGTGTATTAACATTATATTATCTAATCATGAACTTTTTTTTACTAAATTTATTTAAAACTAATAATATCCACTAACCTAAAATATTTATATAATAGATAATATAAAATAAAAATATATTATATATACCTATGAGTGTAGGGCAAGTAACGACTACGATGTGAATTAATGTTTTGAGCTTTTTTGCGCCATTCGTTGTTGAACTCTTCAGCTTCATCTAAAAATTAAAATTTTCAAGTTGTCATTCATTTTAAAAACATTATATTTATGTAAAACAGTATTAGTTATCATAGAAAAGTAAATAAAATAGATCACAAATGCAGAAGTCTGAAATAAATAATATACAGGTACAGCGCTTTAATTATAGAATTTTTTTCAGTTTTTTTGTGATTTCATTTTAATACATCAAATAACAACACTAAACATTTTAAACTATAGATCAGAGCAGAAATTAGCTTTGAGTAGCTTAATGTTAAAACCACAAATATAAAAGAATTCAATTTGACTGTATCTAATAAAGTAAGGATTACATGGAGTACTGCTTAATAATTCAATGAAATTATAATAAAGGGAGACAATGATGTAATTTTGTCTGCACAGTGGAATATCAATATTCAAGAAAAGTAAAGGTATTTTATAGATATAATTCAATAGAATTTTGAATAATAAATAGTGATAATAAATTCTAAACAATTTGTTCAAAAATGTTAATACATTTTTCTTCTTCCATTATTTACAAATTAAGTAACTAGTTAATGAGGAATCCAATGTTTTTTGCAAAACTTTTGTAAAACCGATAGATAGGAGAGAGCAGCCTCATGGACATTATTAAGAGACAATTATAATAGTTGTAATAACATCTGCTATAAAACAAAATAATTGGTAGCCATTAAAATGGATAAACAAAAATCTAATTAATACTTTAATTTAAATCAAATTGAAGTAGTTTTGTAATTTTACAATGATGAATGTAATGAATATAATTTGACCCCCAATTCAAAAGTTAGTATTTAGTATTAAGCATACATCATTTATAAAAAAACATTATTTCATGGGAGCAGCTCTCTCAAAAAAAATTGAGTTATTGCTCCTATGAAGATGGGTAATAAATTATATCAAGCAGCTATACCTAGTTGATTATCTTTTATTTTATTTTTAAACTATACTAACCATCATCCAAATTAATATATTCTTGGTTTTCTTCTTGGTCTCCAGAATATAAATTTTGTTGACGTTCAACAATGTGTGCACGGTCTCCGATATGATGCCCAATAGCCAACTTCTTAACACCTGTTCTTGAATCACTAACTGCTTTTTTAGTCTCTTTTACTCCTCCTGGACCAGTACGTGTAGAAGTGGAAGCTTTATATACCTAAGAAATATTTTATACAAAAACATATTAATAAAATACCTAACATTAAAATAATGTATAATAATGAAGTACTTGTGGTTGTCCATTTGGTCCATTTGATGAATATGACATAAATGTACTGCTGCTGCTGCTGAATGATTGGCCTGGATGATTACCACTGATCATCATATTCATAGGATTATTCATATTATTCATATTATTCATTCCCATCATGGAACCAAAATTTCCAAACATTCCACCTCCAAATGGCATCATCATGCCAGCCATTGGATCAGGGAATCCGCCAAAAAATGAATTCATCATTTGGTCCATTTGGCGCATTGAATTTCTGAATAAATTAAAATTATTTATTAAAATGTATGTAAATATTTAATTATTTTAGAATTGTAGCATTGAGTATAATATAGTATTATGATCATAGTGTTGATATTTAACATTATAAAATTATCATAGAAACTTCGCATGGAAACCAATTATTTATTTTATTTGGTAATTTTTTGTTTTAACTATAATTTCCATGCTTTGTGACAGATCGAATAAAAATTAATTAATTAATAGTTCACTAAAGTCTAAAATTAAATGGACCAGTCATGTGCTACATATTCATGTTTGGTTCCTACCATTAGTTTACTCTATATTCATTACATTTTTAGTGATTGTGCAACCGAGCATAAGTCATATAACCTTAATGCTATCAAAAATATAAAATTTTATAACAAAATATGAAAGTAAAGAGCAAATGTATAAGCTATATAATGATAATAATACTAAACATTAGTAAATTTTAATTACCGAGCCATACACAATGTACAGTTTCTGAGTTTTAAAATTTATACAAAATAGCGGATTTAAGTAAATTTAAAACAGATTACCACTTTTACTCTCAAAATAGTTCCATGGCCTAATGTTACTCTCTGTGGCATCCTAATCCCCCGTTTTCCAACAGTAAAATACGAAAATATCTTTGCATAAGTATTACTTAAGTGTTTTATCATTTTATCCAATCAGTATCGGCAATTCATTCAAACTTTAGGTGTTCCCTCATTTTTGGACTGGAAAATTATGCCATATTACATAATAGCAGACTGGTATAAACATTAAAACATATATTATATACAAAATAATTAATATAAGGTATTCGGTAGGTATAGAAATATTATAGAGACCTACTTTGAATACACAATACCTTTTGTTACTTTTTTGGAACTATCTACAACAAAAAAGAATCTGAATATGCCAATGCTGTGTGAGAAAATTAGAACTGAGAAATAGTTTTAAAAACCTGCTGCTGTTAGTTAATTTTGAGTCACAGAATAATATAGGTAGATCTTGAGTTTTGATGGATACCTAGGAACATACCAAACGACGCTGGACTGAACACTGATTGAGATTAAGCCATCTTCGCTCGAACAAACACATATTATGCCAACTCTAACATGACTTTTACTAATTGTATTGTACCGTTATACAAAAAAAAATTATAAATAGACAATCGTAGAATAAAAAAAAAACTATAGATGTAAAGCAAGGTGACAAATCCATAACCAGTTTTAAAAAAACTATCATACATTTGTTGTCCAACAGACATAATTATTCACAGCACACATGACATTAAATGACATGCATTACACATACCTGAATGGACTATCGTTTCCAAACATGTCGGTGGTCGTCAATGCATTGGGAAACATGTTGGATGGCGTTCTAGTAAAAGTCGACTTCCGTAAGTATTGAGAAGTTTACCGTAGAGCTTCAAAGTCGGACACTAGGTTTTCCGATTTTGGGTGTACGACGAAACGCGATAAATTACACAATTGTTGATATTCTAATTTCTATAGTACACAACACGACAGCTGGAAATTATTACGATCGCACAATACTGCATTCACAAGATAAAACGTCTATTGGAAATGGAAATAATAATATCATATGATGATTATTGATTACCCAGTGAAAGAAGTAAGAACAGACACGGTTTAGCGTTCAGCGAATACAGATTGGCAATTTATTGTGGTTTCTGGTTTTTCCAACAAGATATAATATCAGTACTAGGTACCACAGACCACTTACTGGTTACTATTTAGTATTTACTAATTGATGTTTTAAAAAACCTAATAAAAAAAAGTAAAAACCTAGTAAAATCGAGAACTTTCTTTACATAAACAGTGTGGCCACAAACGAAACGCTAAAACATTTTACGACAAACCAAAATGTGTAAACAAATAAACAAGATTTAAACCAAATAAATCTTAATTTAGTAAATTTGCGATTTAAGTATTTACCACAGAATAGGTAGATGAAATATAAATATAAATATGAATTTCATCTATTCTGCGATTTAACCACGATGTAGATAATACAGTGTAGTCACATTCTATGTTTGAGTCGAAATTTTTTAGTCGTATTTTGGAGGCATTTAAAGCGGGGATTATCCGCCGGGAGAGCTAAGCAGGCCGATTCTTATTTCTTTCATTAAAATTTAAAACCATAGACAACTAGACAAGAATACTTAAAACTTATCTAAAACTTTAGGAACGAATTTAGTTTACTTCCCAAACGTTTTTTTGAGAATGTTGATATTGTTATGCTCAACGTGATGGTGAAATCAGAATATTATACCTATATCTTAAAAATAACAAAAATAGTAAGCAAGAATATAAAATACGTAAATTCTGATTTCACCATCACGTCGAGCATAAAAATATCAACATTTCTTAAAAAAAATTCCAAAAATATGAATTCCTAGTTAAATTAAGCTCAAAAACACAATTTTTCCCTAAAATCGAGTATTTCGTCTATAACTTACAAATTAAGCTTGAATGATGTTTTTTTAAGTACCATCATAAAACACATTTTCAATAAAAAATTCCAAAAAATTTGATGTTTTATTTTAGACATTAATTTTTCTTTAATAATGTAACCTACCTATCAAATTGAATATTATAATATAATAATATTAAGTATTAAACTAATAATTATAAAATTATGTAAATAATGTGTTACATGCCTACAATAATGGGTAATCGGAAAAAAAATCCCTGACCATAGAAAAAAAAATCTCCAGCTACAATATTACTCACAATCACATGCAAATGGTTGAACAAATATATTTTGAACGTTAATTAGTATCTATAATTAATATTTAATGACAAATACGTATATTATATTATATTGCTAAGGGGCCTGGTCGCGATTTTTCAAATTTTCCGCAATTCTATAAAATTTGAAAATTAAATTTTATATTTTAGTTGCCACCTCAATTATAAGACTTTTCCACTAATCTACTACCCAATACCTATTTAGGGGGGGTTGATAGGGTGTATTATATCGGTCAAAACACAGTTTACAGGAAAAACTCTCACACCTCGTAGATTGGTCCGATTTCCGTAATTTTTTTTTTGTTAGAAGAATATTTTTTACAGGGCGCATTGGACTTTGATTTTTGATTACGTTGCTAAAAATAAATAATAATACAAAAACTAAAAAGTTGTAAAAATGGATTAAATTCAAACTTGTAATATAAGATTTCGAAAAATAATTTTGAAAATCCAAGTCCAATGCGCCCTGCAATACGTCTTTCTCTATTTAACAAAAAAAAATTACGGAAATCGGACCAATCTAAAAGGCGTGAGAGTTTTTCCTGTAAGGCATGTTTTTGAGCAAAAAAACAGGTCGCGACCAGGCCCCTTAAGAAAAATTATAAAAATATTTAGAATGATCGATACGTCAATTAATAATACAGTTCAAAACATAGTATACAAAAATATTATACAAAATATAGGTACCTATATTTTTTATTTATTGTTTGATAAAAATTTTACTATTATTATAATTATTATTATTATCATTATTATTACCACCTATATTTCGTGTAAAATGTTTGTATACCTACTATATTATACCTACTAAATATTTGTAGGCTTATGTTATGTTTTTACCATTGGCATTACCGGCCATTTACCACCTATATTTTAAATTTTTTATATTTTTATATACCTACTATGTTTTGAACTGTATTCTTTGACGTATCGATCACTCGAAAATATTTTTGTACTTTATATATTTGTGTACACTACACCTCACACAACAATCATAAGTAATATTTGAAGTTTTGAAAACGTAATATTTTATTTCAGGGATTTAATTTTTACAGAATTATACCAACATAAAATGTGTATTAATATAGTAATATAAAATGTTGTTGTAAATTTTTCAAAAATTATTTATAGACTTATAGTTATTTATTTATATTATTTTTATTACCTATATTTTGTATAATATTTTTGTACACTATGTGTTTAACTTTATTATTTGACGTATCGATCATTCAAAATATTTTTATATTCTACACCTATTTGTAACGTTGTTAAGTTAGTTATTTAATTTGAATTACACATAATATATTATATTATAATAGAATATAATATACGTATTTGTAATTAAATATTAATTATAGATACTAATTAACGTTTAAAAAATATTTGTTCAACCATTTGCATGAGGTTGTGAGTAATATTGTAGTCTGGGGATTTTTTTTCCGGGATTCACAATAATGTTAAGTATCAATATTACCAAAGGAATAAGGATAGAATATTATTGTTACAATGATACATTATTAATGATGATACCTACTCAGAAATATCAGATTTATATACTGTACTAAAGGTTATTTATGAATAATATTAATTACAATAATAATATTGTTGGTCAATGTGCTATGGAAATGACCATGTCCATTTGTTCAGAGTATGAGTATAGGTAACTCATAAGTTAGTAATGGCAGCATGGCACATTGATTAACAACTATTGTAATTAATATGATTAACTAAATAATCTTTATTACAATTTATAGATCTAACATTTCTGAGTAGGTACACAAAAATATCGCCATTTAAATCCAAAGGTACAACTTTAAGTTTGGCATAAATATAGTTTAGTTACCAAACTATTTTAAAATTTTTTTTTTTCAAAATGTGTGTTTTCGTTTGCTTTATTACCTCCAACATGATTTAACCCAATAACATGTTTAAATCATAGAATAGATGAAATTCATGGTATCATAGAGTAATTACTCTATGGTTGGTATCCGACGATTAAAGCTGGACCTAGGGTCAAGAAGGGCCAATCTCACTTTTTTGGGAAAATGAGATGCAGGGCTTAACATATACAATTTATGTATATTTTCTTGTGCTAGAAAGCTGTATCTCGACATTGGCCTCATTGGATATTTACAGATCAAGATACTCCCCCCTCTAGCACAAGAAAATATACATAATTTTAATATGTTTAGCCCTTTATATTAGGCCATTTTATTTCATCAAAAAGTGAAATTGGCCCTTCTTCTTTTTTTTTTTTTATTATCTTTGATAGTATTGACGCAGAACACATTTTTTTAATATTTAAATAAGTAATACATAATGGGTGCATTTTAGGTTTATGACAAAACATAAAATAAAATTATAATTACACATAAAATAAAATAAATTTAATTTATGTAGTATAAATGTATAACAAATATATTGCATAGTACCATAGAACATTTTAAAATATTTTTAAAGTATCACAATTTATTTACTTATAGATTTAATTATAATTATGATTACAAACATCAAGTATTTATTTTACATACTAAAAATAGTGAATATAATGATAAGGGTATATTATATACCAGGTGCAGACTGGCTAGGGCGGTGGGTATGCGATCCCAGCCTGGGCCTGTCGAACATTCGGAAAATTTGACAACTTGTAAATATTTTTTTATTAGTCCAAATATTGGCTAAATTGTCTGTTTTTTCAAGGCTAATCACTAAGCTCTGCCCCTGTTATATACATATTTTAATACATTATTTTCACTCTTATTACTTATTAGGTACTAAGTTAATAAAAGACTTAAAATGGTAACTATAATAGATAATACAATTATCAACATTTTTAATTTCTTCCATATAATGTGGAAGTAAGTTTTTGATTAAACTTCTCTGGTATAATGGATTTTAATACCAACCAAGTCATATAAGCAGTCATGCCCCATATTCTTTTATAGTTGTTTGTGTATACTGGTATCATCATTAATCTGTTTGACTGTTGTCTGAAATATGTGTGTTTGCAATTAGCTGGTTCGCAAAAATGCCTAATGGGAACAGCAAATGCATATTGAACTTCTTCACTGGAAATATTTAAATTCTCTGGTTCTACAACACCAATATTTCCTAAAAATGGCATAATTGCTATGTCTTTAGAAACAATAAATCTACCACTTCCCCAAATATCAATACCAGTCTTGCTTATTCCAAGTTCTTCGCAAGATTCCCTCAATGCTGTATCCTGTAGTTGTTCGTCTGTTTCACGCATTCCACCAGGGAATGATACTTGACCACTATTTCTTTTTAAATTATTCGTCCTTAATGTATACAATAATGATATTTCATCTTTAACAATACATAATGGAATAAGAACAGCGGCTTGACGTTTGCCATCAGTATTCAGTTCAGGACATAATGTCTTAAAACGTTTCACAGATTTTAAAGAATTATCTTTGGAAAATATATCATGAGAATTAAAATGTACAAATCTGGACGAAGTACTTAATAATAATCTTGGAAGTTTTGAAAAACTTATCAATCGTAGAGACTGCATTATAATATTTGTATAATAAGTTACTTACTTTAGTGTAAAGAAGTTTCCTTTTTTTATTTAATTTTAATAAAGTAAATAATACAATACATTTTTAAAGAAATTGTTATAATATAGTAATATCCTCTTCCCCATGTTTGGTGTTAACATAATATATAGGTAAATTATTGAATGTATGGAGTATGCACTTTGGAAAGGATAACTTACTATTTGTTCTACCTATTATTATTATTATTATAATTTATCTTTAAACATATAAAAATTATGAACATCAAAAACAATAAAACAATATAAGTGAATATGAATTTCTTCAAGTTAACTAAAGTCTAAATTGTATTTTATATTAAAGGTCAAAATAGAAATTTATTGTGCAAACTAATTATGAAACGTACAATATTTATATAATAATAATGGAATATTGGCATATACATAACAGCATAAACCATGGGCATAGGCATAACTGCATAAGACATTGGCATTTGGCAATAATATTGCCATATTGGCATATTGACAGTATTCAGGAAGTAAGTCATAGAAAAAAGTATTATTATCTATGACTTTGATACCTCAATGTTGTAACTTATCACAATATTATCAATACCACCATAGATACCACCTTAGATCATATACTATGGATGGAGCCACTGCATATTATTTTGAAGCCGATATTAGCGACGAGTCACCGAATTAGGTGATCGATATGCGCATGCGCGAAACAACTCGTTTAATATTAATATTATAACTGTCCCCATCCCAGCCGAGTCACCGAATTAGGTGTTCGATATGCGCATGTGCAACGCAACCTCTCCCATATTTATCAGCTGGTGATTATATTAATATTAAACGAGTTGTTTCGCGCATGCGCATATCGATCACCTAATTCGGTGACTCGTCGCTAATATCGGCTTCAACTTTTTGTATTGCTATAATACGCAGTGGCTCCATCCATAGTATATGATCTAAGGATACCACAGAGTCCGTGTTTCAGGTGATAAGTGATAACGTTTAAACTGTTATCTAATATTTAACATTATTGAAAATAAACAATTTGAATTATCACGTGTTTTTTAACTCTAGACTTACAACTATAGTTTCATTTTTATGTAGGTACCTATTATTATTTAAGTATTTAACTACAGTGGCACAGTATACCCTTTACGTATCTTAGAATATGGACTTAATTAGCCAATAGTTATTGCTAATTAATATTCTATGCACTTAAAATAAAATAAAAATGTATGAACCAACACTTAAAAATTTAACAAATGTCGATTATGGTAAACCTCCCGATAGCCAAAATCAAGTAAGTTATTAAAATGATTTTCATTATTTATGAACGTTAATTGTTAGTATTTTATATTTGATAATTATTTCTTAGATTCTTCAAGAATTGGGTACTCCGCACATAGACTCCTTTAACTATATGATTGAAGAAGGATTGAATTTAGCAATCTCTGATTTGTTACCAGTTGAATTTGATACAAAAGGAAAATATCGTGTGAAACTTACCTTACTGGTAATTAAATAATTAATGTACTTTTATAATTTGTTAAAATTTGTATGTATGAGTATTAAATTATGTAACTTTTATGAAATTTTAAATTTAATTTAATGTATTTATACATTTTTCATCAGCTATATTATAAATTACTAATAAGATACTTTATTTAATTTTGTTGATAAAATTTATGCATATTTTCAGGAAGCAGCTATTCATCAACCTCGAGTACCTACAGGATCACTTGGTGTTAAATCACATAGTATATATCCATTAGAATGTCGACAACGTCATGGTACTTATTCAGGAAGACTTGAAATAAAACTCGGTTGGAGAATTGATGATGTTGAACAAATGATAATTGACAGAGATATCGGCCAAGTGCCAATAATGTTAAAGGTATTTTTTCATTATTATTATTACTATTATTTTATGATATATAATTTAAGAAACATATTTTATTTCTAATAATGATGAATAGTAAGCCAATACAAAGAGTGTAACAACAAATGTGATTTATAGTTTGTCATACTAGTAAATTTTTTTTTTAGTCTAAATTGTGTCATTTGGAAAAAATGTCTCCAAAACAATTAGTTAAACTAGGAGAACATCAAGATGAATGGGGTGGATATTTTATTATTAAAGGCAAGGAACGATTAGTACGGCTGTTGTTAGGAACAAGAAGGAATTTTCCAACTGCTGTTCAAAGAAATACTTGGAAAAATAAGGATAAATTTTTTTCAGATATTGGTATTTTGATTAGATGTGTTAAAGATGATTTAACAACTGTTGTAAGTTTTATATTATACATTTTAAATGTTTTTTTAAAAAACTGTTTTAATTTTTTTTTAAAAATTGATTTTTAGACAAATAATTTGCATTATTTAACAAATGGTACTGCCAAATTAATGATCCCAATAAAGAAGAGGGTATTTTATGCACCCATATTTTTAATAATGAGATGTTTAACTAACAGTTCAGATGAGTTTATATTTAGACACATTATTAAAGGACATGAAAATGATTTATATTTCATTAGGTAAGTTGGTCATTATAAATTATTTTTAAGTTTATAATACTTTACATACTTTAATTGTTAAACATTTTTTTTTTTTCAAAAATAAAAACATTAAAACATTTTTTTGAAGATCTGTAATGGAAATGATGCGTTCCTTACATGAAAGTAACATACATTGTCAAGAAGATGCTAAGGAATATATTGGTATTATGTTCAGACCTAGATTTTATGAATTGCCTGAATGGAAAACTAATAAAGAAGTTTGCGATCATATGCTCAGGTTTGAGATTTAATTGTCATAAATGCTGTAGTTAAATACTATAATTTTCAATTGGTTTCAGGAATTATGTTTTAATCCATTTAAACACTGATTTTGATAAACTCAAACTCTTAGTTTTTATGTTGCAAAAGTTATTTTCAGTGGCCCAAAATAAATGTTTAGTTGAAGGTGCTGATGGAATTATGATGCAGGAATTAATGCTTGGTGGTCATCTTTATCTGAAAGTAAAAGAAATAAATAATTTACAATTATCTAAATAATTTAATTAAAAAATTAATATTTTTCAGATCCTCAAAGAAAAGTTGCAAACATGGTTGAATTTAGTTAAAATCAACCTACTTAAAGTTGATCAAGGTGGTCAACCATCTATTGGTGATATGATGACTGCATTGAGAAGATGTGATTTAATTGAACACTCAATGACAAATTTTTTTGCTACTGGCAATCTCAATAGTCAATCTGGTCTAGGAATGCAGCAAGATAAAGGTACTTTATTTTAAATTATCCTATTATTAATTCATGATTTATATCATTGTCATTAAGGGCACACACTCCATAATATGCTATCTACAAAAGGAAATATATACATATATTTACTTTTATTTAATTTAAGTCTGTAGTTTAAAAATGGTCATTATTTCAATAAAGTATGTGACTAAAATATAATCTTAGTGTAAGAATATTTTTTAATATCACTTGTGGACGCTACACACGCATTTGTTGTTCTTGCCATCAAGTTTCATAATAGGTCGATTCACTCCAATTTTTAATCTACATAAATAAACATAATCTGTTGAACGTAAATTTGCTATGTTACTCACTTGTAAGACGGAGACCACAAATGTCTGTGTGACGTCCTCTTAAACAACTTTTAAATACATTGGTCATTTTGACTGATCGCTACCAGTATTCCTGTAACTGTCTTTTGCTTAGGTTGGTAGCTCCATGTTACCTTATTCCATATTTTAGTTTAATGTTTTTCCATAACGACCAACTGCTTAAGTTAGAGCATTTGTATGTGGGTCCTAAGAAATACTTGCTATTATGTTTGTTGAAGAAAACTTTGATTTATTAGTGTACTTTAGACTCCAATCATCTTAGTAAATATTTGTTTCTGGTTTTATTTCTTGAATTATAATAAAATTACTAAAAACTTCTTGATTTCCTTTAATATTATCTATCAAATAATTAACATCTCCAACGGTCCTTAAGTTCTAATTAAATAATTTTGATTTTCTATGTGAATTATTGATTTTGTCATCTTCATCACCAACAATTACTTAACAATTTCTGAGACATTCTTCCTTTATTATATTTTATACTTTCTTTTTCAAAGTAAAGAGGACTGATCGATCTGAACAGTATAATTTAACCTTTTTTTTTCACTTTTACCATAATGTCATGAGATAAATTGAACCAATTGGCAATTGAAAGCACTGAGTGATGTTGTTTTTCCAGTTATTTTGTCTATTGGAGATATATTATACTAATTTACAAACCCAGTAGAAAACAAGTTCAAATATTTTACATAAGCTTAATCCACCATTAGTTTTCTTATTTTTGTCCACGCAAGTAATAAGATATGTGTTGGTTGACATGTATGGTATTACAAATATTTTGTTCTTAAAACAACTTTTTATACTTAAAGTTTTTCATTCATAAAATCAATCATTATGAAAAATTGTTAAAATTGTTCAATTAGTACTTAACACATACTAACACAGCACTACAAGATTAAAGTACAGTCCAAATTCTTTTAATCTTTTCATTAAGGTTCAAAATAATTATGATATATAGTTGTGGGAGAGAAAGTAGATATTGTTACTGTGTTAAATGTGTATAGCATATGACACCGATAAATCGACGATAGAAGCATACAACATGGTGCCCCATCGTATTCAAATTTATAAAATATCATCTTTTTAAATTTCTTTAACAAGGACTTACAATTTTGGTTGAAAACATAAGTCGAATGCGATATATGGCTCATTTCCGTGCAGTTCACCGTGGTGCTATTTTCGAGTCTATGAGAACAACTGAACCTCGAAGGTTGTTGCCAGATGCTTGGGGTTTTATATGTCCTGTTCATACTCCTGATGGAACTCCTTGTGGACTTCTTAATCATTTAACCAAATCTTGTATAGTGAGTAACAACTTTAAAATTAAAATAAATCGATTAAATTGTTTATTGATAATATTCAATACATGTTTATTTAGGTCACTAAATCAATCAGTAGAAAAGTATTGAATGACATTCCAAAGGTATTAGTATCTCTGGGTATGTGTGAAGCATCATACAAACCTCAAGATATTAATATTGGATTTGTATATAATGTAATTCTTGATGGTCGTATAATTGGATATGTACCAGAAACATTGACAGCATTATTTATTAAAAAGCTTCGTACCCTGAAAGTGAAAGGAAAACAAGTAAGCTACTATTTACATACCAGTGTTTCTAATAAAATAGTTTCATTAAGTTGCTCGGCCAAATTAGATAATCTTGAATAAAATCCCCAATAAATACTATTTCTTAATTTAAAAATCATAACTTAATTCTTTAGATACCGGAGACTACTGAAATCGTATGGCTTCAAAAGAAAGAAGAAAATATTTTGGGTCAATTTCCCGGTCTTTTTTTGTTTACTGGAAATGCAAGAATGATGAGACCAGTTTTTAATTTAGATTTAGAACAAATAGAACTAATTGGAACTTTTGAACAAGTTTACTTAGACATAAGTATTTCAGAAGATGAAATTAGACCTAATGTATGTAAAACACTAAAATTTAAAAATTTAATAATATTTAAATATAACATGTATTGTTCTCATCATTTAGATAACTTCGCATAGAGAAGTTACAAAAACAGATTTTCTTAGTCATTTAGCATGTTTAATCCCTTTGCCAGACTACAACCAAAGTCCTCGTAATATGTATCAGTGCCAAGTAACTATAACCATACATTTTTAAATAAATTATAATAATTAATGGTTATATTAATATCTATATTTATTTGCTTATATCTAATAATAGATGGGAAAACAAACAATGGGCACTGCTTGTCATAATTGGCATTTACAGTCGGAAACAAAATTGTATAGGATACAAACACCAGCATCACCGTTGTTCAGACCTGTTCATTATGATGCATTATCAATGGATGATTTTCCAATGGGTACAAATGCTGTCATAGCTGTCATTTCATACACAGTAAAATAAAATATTAGATAATATACTGTAGAAAAGTTAACAATGAATAAATTGTTTTCAGGGTTACGATATGGAAGATGCTATGATTATTAATAAAATGGCATTAGATCGAGGATTTTCTCATGGTTCTATATTCAAAACTGAATTAATTGAAACAAAAGTATATTAGTAATTTTAAATGTTATTTATCAAACCTAAACTAACTCAACTGTTTTACTTAGCCACATACTTATTTTATGCGTGACCCATTTAAAGAAGATCTTCCGGATTCTTTGGGTGTAGATGGTCTTCCACATATCGGCTTAAAACTGTCTAAAGGAACACCATACTATAGGTAACTATAACTAATAAATATTTTTACTTTAAAAGTTATTCTATGAAATTAAAATATCATTTTTTGAAGTTATTTTGATGAACAAATACAAGGATTCATAATAGCTAAGTATTTAAGCAATGAAGAAGTTATTGTTGATTCAGTTCGTCAATGTGGAGATTTTACAACTGGCCGAAAAATACCAAATAAAGCTACAATTACCGTGAGAGTTCAAGTATGTGCATTTGATTAAAATATATTAAATTCAAAAAGTGTATTGTTTTTGTTACATTTTATTTATATTATTAGAGAAACCCAACAGTAGGAGATAAATTTGCTAGTCGTGCAGGACAGAAAGGAATATTTAGTAAAGGCTGGCCTGCAGAGGACTTGCCATTTACAGAAAGCGGAATGGTTCCAGACATTGTTTTCAATCCTCATGGTTTTCCTTCAAGAATGACTATCGGTGAATATTTTTCTACACTAATAATTTTAAGCTTTTCTATAAACTAATTTAAATGTTTATCTTTAGCTATGATGATAGAGTGTATGGCGGGCAAATCTGCAGCAGTGCATGGTGTAGTACATGATGCTACACCTTTTAAGTATAGTGAAGAAGATACTGCAATTGATTTCTTTGGAAAACTCTTAGAAGCAGGTAAGACATCTATATTTTGTTAGAAAATGTATGTATTTAGTCTCTTATAAGTATGTTTTTCAACAAGTCACTGATGTATTTGGTTATTTCCAAAATATAAAATTGTATAAATTAAATTAAATTAATTATTATAAATACTTAGGTGGATACAATTATTTTGGAACTGAACAAATGTATAGTGGTGTAGATGGCCGAGCAATGAAGGCATCAATTTTTTTTGGTGTTGTTCATTATCAGCGATTGAGGCATATGGTTTCGGATAAGTGGCAGGTAATTATATCATAAAACAGTTTGTTACTAAAAACAAAATAATTGACTAATTGTATGCTAGGTACGAAGTACTGGCCCAGTTGATGCTGTTACAAAACAACCTGTGAAAGGCCGTAAAAGAGGCGGTGGTGGTCGTATTGGTGAAATGGAAAGAGATGCATTAATATCCCACGGAACTCCATTTTTAATGCAAGATCGATTTATGGATTGTTCAGATAAATCAACAGTTAGTATTTACAGTTTTAAAATGCTCATAACTTGCTTTGTAATTAAAATATCCAGCTTCAAAGATGCCCTGGATAATAATCTTACCTTTAAATTGTGTCACTGCAGCGGTGGTGGTAAAATCCGGAACAAATGCGCTTTACCACGCCCCTCAAGAATTTCAAAAATTACATGTTTTTCAACCCTGATTTCGAAACTGTTTGAATTTTTTTTCGGAAAGCATTATTTTGGAAATCCAAATGGTGCGATTTTACGTTTATGTGCATGCGTGGAACGCTACTTGACTGCAACGCTATAACAAATTTTTATTTTAAGTTTTTTAACAAAGAAATCTAAAAAATGCCTCGATTTGTTGTGTAAAACCACCTTGAGCAGGCCTCGGAGTTAAACAATGTTGTTAAAAAGCCATACCAGTAATATAAGTATATTACAGTGGCTCCGGGAGCCAAACACTAGTTCTTCCTCGCAGTATTAAAGTAGAGTGGTGCGCATGCGTTTAAACGTAAAATCGCAAACTTTGGATGGCTATAACTACAAAAATAATGGTTTCCACAACAATTTTAAACAGTTTCAAAATTAGCATTGAAAAACACGTCTTTTGAAAAAAAAAAAATTGAAATTTGTGAGGGGCTAGGTAATGTGCATTTTAGCCTAAAATCCTATTAGTGGTAGTGGTAAATTTTGTGGCTGCTGTAGTTTGGGGGGACCTACCTCAATAGGTTAATTCCCACTAAGTTTAAAAAGAACAGAATAAAAGGGATTATTGTAAATGTACTATTTGCTATGTTGTACGATCCAAAGATCACATGCACCAGTGACATCCTGTTAATAAACATTAAACATAAGTATTTGACTTATAACTGTTGTCTTTTAAAAATATATTGTACTAAATTCTTAATTTAAAATTACATTCTATTGTTTATTTTTAGGCTCTGTTGTGTTTGAAATGCCATACAATACTAACTTCATTAGTTCAATTCAAAGAAGACAGTTATTCAAGTAAAATTGCTAAATGTAGAGTATGTGACTCTACTAAAGTACAAGAAATTGGAATACCTAATGTATTTCGATACTTATGTTCTGAACTTGCTGCAATCAATATTAAATTACAGTTAAATATTGAAGTATAAATATTAAAAAAAAAAAATTTTAATAATTTCAATTTCAATTTATTTTTTTATTTTTAATTATAATTCAATATATTATCATAGGACAATTTAATAAATAAAAACTGAAACTATTTGATATTTTACTTGTTTTTGATATTCTAAATAGATGGTATTATTTGTCTAGATTTTCCTTTCCTATTCCATTTTATTTCTCTAGAAATAACGGATTATTTATAATAATTCTTGATTTTAAAAGCAAATGTGATATGTTCATATGGAGTAGTATGTAGACATATAGTATGGAGTCGGTTCTCCTCCAGAGCATTAACGTTAGTGGCTAACTAATAAGTCTTCCAATCTTTGTCATTTTAAAATAGTTTACATCTTATATAAACGGCCAGCGTCCAAACGTTGTTATGTATGACGATTGCTCAACAGGTGGACACTGATATTGGTATATTATATTTATATTGAGTCCTCAAGACTCAATTCTATAGTAAGCCCTGATTTATCAGACAAATAATGGCTTTATTTATTTTAATACAGTACAAAATAAATCATAATTAATCTTATTTACCATATAAAATACCATACAATTGCCAACCGACGTTGAAGCTTCAATTCATGGCGAGAATATATATTGTGATAACAGTATGATAAATAGTAGTACAGTGCTGCCAACTATATTGAAATATCCAATACGACAATTACTTTAAAAATGTCTATAGTTGGTAGTTTTAAATTTGAATATCAACAGATCGCTGCTATTGAGAGAACTAGAGAGCTCTGCACGTACCACGGGGCACGGACTAAAGAAAATGGGAAATTTACGAAAAATCGATTTCGGTTTCTGGTATAACTCTAAAACAAATGACTAGTATAGGTCATATTTCAATATTTGACATTTTCACCGAATGTTTGTAAGCATTTTCTATGCACGATAATAATTATTGGTGGTTGTATATATATTTAAAAATTATATTAGCTCATCCAAAACTTTAATTTGACTTGAGGCCTAATTTTTGACTTGATGCCGGCCTGTATGTAGTGAAGGCCAATGGTACAATTTTGTGGATCAATAAAGTTTGGATTTTTCAAATATTGCATACTTATTAAGATTAATATAAATAAATAAGTAAATATTATTTATAAATATTTAATTAATATTTATTAATTCCAAAATTTGCTTTACATAGCTAGTTGAAAATAAGAAAAAAAACTACTTCTGAATATTGTATAGAACTATAGATTTTGTTGCCCATCAACACTAAAATGAAAATATAAAACTTGATTTTATAATATTAACTGTTAACTTTTAAATACATCTTATATTTAAATTAAGGTGCCAATAACTTGACCTAGTTCTTAAAATAATGTTGAAATATAGTTCACACTTAGTGCCAAATTCTATTTTAAATAGGTACCATTATCAAATATTACTCAATTTAATTAATACTATTTGTCAATGAATAATAATAGTACTTTTAAGGTCAATGTCATATTTTATCTAGAACTATTAGTACTTTAAATTCTAGTTGTAAAGCTTTATCAATAATATTAAAAACCTTGACCTTCAACGTAAATTGCACAAGGCATTTATTCTAAAAAATTTAATATTTGACTCTATAACACTGTACAACAAATAAATTTAAACAAGAAATAACTTAATTTAAAAAGTGTACGTGTACAATAATTACTAGGTATAATCACTGGGAATAATAATAACAAAAAAATAACAACGTTTTTATACTCATAATTTAATCTATTATTATAGTATTGTCACAAATACTGACATTACGCGGTAGCTTTTTTCAAATAAGCAATAACGTTGTTTCTTTCGTCTACTTTCTTAATTCCGGCAAACACCATTTTAGTGCCAGGTATATATTTCTTGGGGTTTTCTAAGTACTCGAATAATGTGGTTTCATTCCATGTGATACCTACAATCAAAACAGTTATAAATAATTAAAAAACTATCCAAGGTTATAAAAAAATATTTTCATCATTGGCATTTCAAAAACTGAGTCAAAATGAGTTTTAATATTTGCTCTAAAAAATTCAAATGGTTTTCAGATTTTCATAAAGTTCAACTTTCATAAAATGTAAGTACATTGATCAGTTTGATATTTAAACAATTTTAAATAATGTATTAAGGGAACAGTACCAGAAATTAAATAAAACACTGGAAAAATGATATAAGCTGAAAGCATAAAATATGAATTTACAAAAACCAAAATAAAGTTTTTCCAAATAATAACTGTTACATATATTAGTTAGGTATATAATAAAAACATATTTACCCTTTTGTTTATTGGCATCGGTATAAGAATAACCAGCAGCTTGACCGGTTTTACGTCCGAATAAACCGTGCAAGTTGGGTCCAACTTTGTGTTTGCCTCCCGCTTCAACAGTGTGGCATTGAGAGCATTTAGTTTGGAATACCTTGAAATGACATTAACATTTAATACTAATTTTGTTTAAATAATAGATGTACCTGAAAATACTTACTTTAGCTCCTTTGTCTACGTCACCCATTTTTGTTAATTAGGTATTTGAAAATTAAATATACCTATAAAAATTTTAAAAATGAAAAACGTGACTCAGAATAAAACCTCAAAAAAAAAAAAAAAATTTTTAAATTGTTATAAGTAAATGGCATATAAAAGAATTAATTGCAAAATTTAGCAATTTTGTTTTTCAGAGAAAACATCGTTAAACGTGAAATATATTCAGGAAATTGGAATAAGTACTTACGATTTATGAATGAGTAGAAGGGCGGGAACGCACGACCTGTCAATACAGAAATGAATGTGAAAAGAACGAGACAATCGTATTGGTTAAGGAATAGGAACTAACCCAGACACAGGATTGCCGATCGCCCGGATTGCGAATTATGTTGTAAGTCTATTGGGTGGGGACGCCGGAAGGTCATGCTTTTTATCATCCATGACTGTAGAATTGATTATTTTGTCAATTTACTTTTCCAAGATATGAACCAAGGTGACAGTACCAGAAACCGCTTAACCTTTCATTCTGCTTATCTATTATCTACATATAAAAGTATATACATATGTACCATAAATTATAATTTTACCATGAACTACCAGCAGTGTTTACTGTTGAATAGTATCTCTACTATTCTTATTTTTCAGCTGATTAGTAAATTAGTTAAATTATAAGACATATTACCGAGTACACTTTCCAGTTCTCGTTTTCTCGAGTTCATGACATTTGACATTTTCGCTCGTCAAAAATTGGTTCGTTATATTTTGCTGGAAAATCAAAATACTTTAAAACTTTATAAAAATGAGTGGCTTATTAAAAATTGTCAATCCTGTATCACGAAGTACTTATTCAAAAATTGTAAGTATTTGTTCTCAATTGAAATTGGTAAACCAGTTAGGTTCCCATAAATGACTATTAATTTATGATCGCAAACTAATACAAGGAAAGAGATTGTTTGGTACAGTTTTGTCCAAAACATTGTAAAAAAGCAAGATGATTTAATTAAAGTTGAAGAATTTATAACAATCTTGAATCTTATGAACAAAATGCATTAGTAGATATAAAGTTCTTGGCGCTTACTATGAAATTTGTCTGTTTTAATAATGTATTTAGAATTTATTATTATGTAATTAAAAAGTTGTTTATATTTTAAATTATGTCAATATAACTTGGGTATATTATTATCTGTACTTAAATAATAATGGTTTTTAAACTCAGGAGTAAAAATAATTTTTTTTATTAAATAATATTTATATATTATTTCTAATTAATTAGTTTGTCATTAAACTTTCACCATACGAAAAAATTAAATTCAATTGTTTTCTATAAACTAAATAATTTTTATTTCCTATTTTTGTTACTCAAGCTTAGCTCTAGTTATTCTTATTACTAATATTACGTAATATGTTGCAACAATTGAGTAAATATTTGTTTGATAAATTAATTAAATAATTAAATGTGTTAAAGAAATAAAAAACATTTGTTTTTTTTTGAAATGATATTCACTTTTTCCACTTGACTACATGTTTTTTTTATTCCTTTTTACATAGTTAATTATTGAGCTTTTTTTGAATACCTATATAAATTTGAGGATGAACTTAAAAGTATGAACAAAAGAATCCTAAAAAAACTTAATACATAATTGCAATTTATTTGTGTTAATAAAATAATATTATGTTTATATTCAAGCAATGCCATCATTTGATTTGGAGGGGCAGGTGGACAGGTGGGCAGGTTTTCCCCTGTCTGCTATTAAAAGCAGTCCTACTTTTGGGCATGTTGTTGGGGGAATAAAATAACTATAATTTTATCTAATATTGAGGATATATATTATTGTATATATTGCATTAGAAAACTATTGTTACAATAATAATAATTAATGTTTATAGTTTTCAGTTCAAATATACATAATTATAGATGCTGATATTAGGATGATTTTTAAAACACATATTTAAAAATTTTTGATTTTTAAATTCTGTTTTAGCAGTCATGTTTCATATTGTAATTTAATTTGTACGACCCCTCTAGAAAAATGACTGGGTAGGCACAATTATTTAACTCCTCCATATATTTTTGGCTTTAAAATGAAGCTAGTTTTGCTCAGACACATATGAAGTTAATTAGGATGGGAATTGTATCAAGATAAAAATGTAAATGAAAATTAGCTAGCAAGCAAAGCAACTTGTTTTTTTTTGGTTCAGTCATATGGGCTAGTCAAATTTTTGCCCCATCCTTTTACAAACTGGAATAACATCTGTATTCAAGTAGCATTAGTTAACTAAATTTATATGATTTTTTTTTTTTAGAATAATTGGAACCGTCCATTAATTTGCACAAGAAACTTACATCGATCTCAATATTATTCAGCTAAACAGAGTACAGCAGTAAGTATATATCTTTAAAGCAATTCTCTACTAGATTTAAAGTTTTTAAATAATCAAAGCATTAAAATAAAAACTATTTAAATCGCTTATCCAAAATTGAACAAATTAAACTACTTAAATTTATTTTTACTTATTCCTTTCCCTGCTCCAGACGTACTATTACATTCCTATATTTGTACAAGTTCATGAAACCTTGTCCCATATTATTTCATACTTAAATAATTAGATCATGTAGATCTCAACATTTAAAAAATAAAAAAAAAATTGATTTTATGTAGCATACACAGGTTGTAGTGGATAATAGTGTAAAAGGGTTAAAATTATACGATTAGAATAATTTATATTTTATGTTTAATGGTAAATAATTTTAATAAATTAATTTAAATATTTTATATGTATTGTTTTGCTAAGTATTATTTTCTTTTGTCAATTATAAAAATATTATTTTTTACAGTTTATTTAATTACTTTAAAATCATTTCTAGGGAACAAATGCATATTCAGTAATTGATCATGAATATGATGCTGTCGTAGTTGGTGCTGGAGGAGCTGGTCTCCGTGCCGCTTTTGGCCTAGTACAAGAAGGATTTAAAACAGCAGTTATTACTAAACTATTTCCAACAAGATCTCATACAGTTGCTGCACAAGGGGGAATTAATGCTGCGTTAGGGAATATGGAAAATGATGATTGGCGATGGCATATGTATGTAAATTGTAATTATTTTTTGTTGGTACTTCCTGGTTATCTTGATTACCCAAATATTTCCATAACTACCTGGTTTAATCATCCGAATTATCACAATCTTCAGCAGATTGATGAAAGTTTATTTATGAAAAGAAAAAAATCATGTTGGGAGGGTACTTTCAGAACACTGAATATTTAAGGAAATTTTTGCCGAGATAAAAGAGGCATTTTTAATGAAAGTTCTGGATAGAAAAATAGAAAGTCTTCTTATGGCGATCAAGAAACGTTCAGAAGAGTACCACAATTTATTCAGATGGTTGGCATGCTTATTACACAGAATTATTAAGATTATCTGGCTTTGATCACTATACAGTAAAGGGGGGTCCACACTTTACCGTGTCGTGTGAACCCCCCTTAAATCATACTTATAATTTTCTGGACTCAACAGTCGGAGACACACTTAAACAATTGAGCACCTTTGGGAATCTGCAAAATGGTGAAACAAAAAGCAGAGCGTAACAGCTCCCCGTCATCTAGATTCATACCAGACTGTATTTCTTTGGCGACAAAACTTAGCAAACCCACCATTTTCTAGAATTCTCATGGATATTACAAGACAATACTTTCTTCTGTAAAAATATTATTGACTGAATTTATTTTATTTTAATTATTTAATTTTCGTTTAAAATTTTGAAATGATTTTTATACATATAAATTATTTTTGGAACAAATGCCACTCTCCAACCACTCTCCTCATGAATTTCAATTTTTTTTTTTTTTAATGACGTGTTATTCAAGGCTTATTTTGTGAATTTTTTTACGGAAACCGTTATTTTGGAAGTTATAGCCATTCAAAGTTTGCGATTTTACGTTTATGCTCATGCGAGCAACCCTATTTGACCCTACGCACAGCGTTATAACAATTTTTTTTTTTTAATGTTTTTTAAAAAAAAATCGAAAATATCCTCTGATTTGCTGTGTAAAACCACCTTGAGTGGGCCTCAGAGTTAAACAATGTTGTTGAAAAACAATTATCTTCAGAAAGTTGACAGCCTAATAACCTATACTGTCTGTTGAAGTAACATTAGTATATTATACTCATAATCTACAAACACGAGTTCCTCCGCGCAGCATAAAAATAGTTTTGGCATGTTTCGCATGCGTATAAACGTAAAATCGCAAACTTTGGATGGCTATAACTTCCAAAATAATGGTTTCCACAAAATTCAAACAGTTTCTAAATCAGCATTAAAAAACACGTCTTTTAAAAAAAAAAACTGGTAAACTGCAGTTTAGACTTATTTTTACTTAGTAAATATAAAATATTTGTTTGTGATTTTTCTCGTAAAATTGGGATTAGGAAAACATATCTTACAAGATTCCCACCTGATTTTTTGGGTAAAAAGAATAACTTTAAAATGTTGAAATTTAAAAAAAAAACAGTTTACCAGGTTTTGTATTGATAGCTTAGAATTTGTTTATGTTTTTCCCGGTGGAATAGCGGCCCTTCAGAAAGGTTTAACAAAAAAATTGAGTACACTGTTGAAAAGCTTATAACATTTTAAAGTTTTTTTGAAATTTGCACCCCCACCTGCTTCAAAAAAAAATTGTAAGATTAAACTGAAATTTTTTAAAATTTTGATATTTTAAAGTTATAAAAAATGTGTGTTATTCATTTTACCCAAAAAATCAGGTGGCAACCTTGTAAGATATGTTTTCCTAATCCCAATTTTATTTGCTTTTCATCAATGTATTCAAATTAATTGTAGTACCTATGGTTTAGCAGATATAAACATTATTATGAATCAAACTTGCGATTAACAAAAAAACACAAACATGGAAATTATCACTCTTATTATTGATAATTTGATTATGATCACAAAGACTTTTTTTTGTTCCATTTGTGGTGAAGAAACACCTCTAGAAGTTTGACGCATTTATCGTGCAACACTCTGTATATGATTAGTGATGACTTAAATGATTTTAATATTAATTTTTAAAAAAAATGTTATTTATGAATTCTGTTGTTTAAAAATTATTTTATTTATATTTTAGGTTTGATACTGTTAAAGGTTCAGATTGGTTAGGGGATCAGGATGCTATACATTATTTAACTAGAGAGGCACCTGCAGCTGTCATTGAGTTAGAAAATTATGGTAAAGCTATTTGAAACTCAATACCAAATAAAATAGTTAATTACATTTTATGTATGAGAAAAAAAATTATAATACATTATTAAATTACTAACAATTATTATTTACAGAATGATTTTATTTATTACTAAATATATAACTATTACCTAATAAGTTTCTTTGAAATTTTAAATTATAATAATTTATAAAATTTTTAGGTATGCCTTTTAGTCGTACTGATGAAGGTAAAATATATCAACGTGCATTTGGTGGTCAGAGCTTAGAATATGGAAAAGGTGGTCAGGCTCATCGTACTTGTTGTGTAGCTGACAGAACGGGTCACTCCCTCTTACATACTTTATATGGATATTCATTAAAATTTAATTGCAATTACTTTGTGGAATATTTTGCTTTGGATTTAATTATGGATAAAGGACAATGTGTTGGAGTTATTGCTTTATGCTTGGAAGATGGTACTATTCATCGCTTTAGAGCTAAGAATACAGTTAGTATTATTTTTCTTTTTGCAAATAATATTTTATTTTTTTTACATATTTATTATTTATTTTTTCTTATATAATTATGAATTTTATTCTTAATAGGTTTTAGCTACTGGTGGTTATGCTAGAGCTTACTTTTCATGTACAGCTGCTCATACTTGTACAGGCGATGGTCAAGCTTTAGCATCAAGGGCTGGTATTCCAATGCAAGATATGGAATTTGTACAATTCCACCCTACTGGTATATATGGCGCTGGCTGTTTAATGACAGAGGGTTGTCGTGGTGAAGGAGGATATTTAATCAATGGTTTAGGTGAAAGATTTATGGAGAAATATGCACCTAATGCTAAAGAACTTGCATCTAGAGATGTTGTATCTAGGTCAATGACTATCGAAATCATGGAAGGAAGGTAGAGATGTTTATATTTTTAATATATTTTGTAAGAATGAAAACTGAAAGGCTAAATACAGTTAGAGAATAAAATAAAATCAAGAAACATCCTCAGTTATTTATATAATATAACTGTATATTTTGATAAATTCAAAAATTCTATGTTTAAATATGATCAAAAGTAGTGTGTAGTATTTTTTATTTACATAAAAACAGGCAGTGACAATGTCTTTGGTAATAAAAGTTAATGTAAAGGTAGATACATAGGTATATACATAGATATCATCTTTCAAAAAAAAAAAAAAGAGATCTTGAATAAGGAAATTTGAAGAAAATATGCTCCGATAATCATCTCAAATATTTAAAATACACTAGAAATAATGTAATACAAATGTTCTTAAAACTTTATTCCTTGTAAAAAGTATCAATATAAAAAAAAGAATACATTTAGTTTAAAGTCTTACAATAGACATATGTTTATTGTGTTATTTGATTACTTGTTGGTGGAAAGCAAGGGTTATATCATTTTCGATATTATTTAGAGTAAGGAAAAAATGTTGAACCTATCTGTTAACTTATCAAGTGAATATTGTTTTAGAGGATGTGGTCCAGAAAAAGATCATGTTTACCTTCAACTATATCATTTGCCAGCTGAACAGCTTCATGCTCGATTACCGGGTATTTCAGAAACTGCCATGATATTTGCTGGAGTTGATGTTACTAAAGAGCCTATACCTGTGTTGCCAACAGTTCATTATAACATGGGTGGAATACCAACAAACTATAGAGGACAGGTTAATAAATAATTAATAATAAATTACAATATTCAATCAATCGTGATAAATTTTAACTTTAAGGCGCCCGTTACTAATGTAATTTTGTACACAAAAATACGCATTGCGGGAATAATGATACTGTTCTGTAAAATCAACCAAATTTGATAATTTCTTTTTATATTTTTGTTAAATAGTAAGTTAGAATATATCTTACCTTTAAGTTTAGTGACATGTCGATTCACTCTAATATCAAAACCTCTAATTGGATCTGCTGAACGCACATTTGGTATGTTGTCTGTGGTTCAGCAGGAAAAACAAACAGTACACTGAGTGCTGACATCTTCTTAATATAATTATTTATTTTAAGTCATTAGTATTCAACAAGGTAGGTAATCAAAACATATCAACTTCAAATACTAAAATAGCTATTGTGGACCCTTCAATGCTATGATTGATAGTCATAGATGATTAGTATTTATATTTATGGTATTATTAGTTATTTAAATATTTGATTATGTCATATCAGTTACTCATTTTTACCTCATTGTTAATTATTTTATATAGGTTATTAATCCTGAAAATGGAGAAGATAAAGTAGTACCTGGATTGTATGCTTGTGGTGAAGCTGCATGTACTTCTGTTCATGGAGCTAATCGTCTTGGTGCTAATTCATTACTCGAGTTGGTGGTATTTGGACGTTCTTGTGCTTTAGACATTGCTAAATGTAACAAACCTGGAGATAAAATACCACGAATTAGTGATGTAAAGACTTAGAAAATATTGAATTTAAGATATATTACAATATATTTAAACTAAGAAAATAATTGGCACATTTGGATTATAGAATGCTGGCGAAGAATCCATTAATAACATTGACAAATTACGTTTTAATAGTGGAACAATACCTACAGCAGACTTACGTTTAGACATGCAAAAAACTATGCAACTTTATGCCGCTGTGTTTAGAACTGGATCTACACTTGATGAAGGCCGCAATAAAATGCAAGCCATTTATTCAAAGCTTAAGGATATTAAGGTATGATTAATTATTTCATTATTTAAATAAATTTAATAATATTATATTAATCCTAAAAAGATACATTATTATTGTTCTTTTTAATATACTTCAATAATAAGGAAGCTACTTTACTATTGTATTGTACTTAGTCACACAAAATAAAGCTTTAAATTATACTTGCTAAGATAATTTTCTATAATTATAAATGGTTTTATCTCATATGAAAGACACTTATACTATAAATAATTGTTTCAAAATTTTGTACAGATCTTTACATGTTCAGAAATCGGACAGAATAGCTTTATGAAAATGTATGTAATTATACTTGTTAATTTTTTTTCTTTTATAAAGTGAAGTAACCAAACATTGGTAAATGTTTTACTTACTCCATATCTTGTTTAAAACATGTAGATATTGTCTATATTTGTTATTAGAATTTAACTGTATCATAAATTCTATAAATATAAATTGTTTATTTGTATATTATAATATGTTATAGGCTAAGATGATGATGTGAAAGGATGTAGTTGTATAGGCAATGTCTTTGGTACCCAAAATTAGCTAATTAAGTAGGGAATTTATGTTATAAAACTTATTTTGTACTAGAAATATTGTCTTTTACTGGCCAATGATGTTAATTTCAAAGATTTGTGGTCAAAAATGACATAAATAGCATTGTACACTCGGAAAAACAATTAAAATTAAAAATCCATGGATGCTGAAACCCCAATTTTTCCAGTTAGTCTTATGGTTAAAGATAACACAATTATCAAGTACATTAAGTACCAATGTTGTAATTTCTCACATAAATATTTTAAATTGTATTTTTTAGAATAATTAAATAAAACTGTTTCTAAAATATTAATATTATTAACAAAATAAAAAAAACATATTTTCATAGATAAATGATCGATCAATGGTATGGAATTCTGATTTAGTGGAATCATTAGAATTACAAAACTTAATGACTACTGCACAGCAAACAATTGTATCTGCTGCTGAACGGAAAGAATCAAGAGGGGCACATGCACGAGATGATTTCAAAGTATGATATTATTTTTGTTTTTTATTAATTAACCCGCTGCAACTTAGGTCATAGGGTGGTTTTTAACTGTGTGTGAGGGTAGTGTATGTTTGAACACGTTTACTCAGTTTGGCAGATTTTTTAGTGGGCACCCGTAGGTATCTGCCGTGCCCGGGTGGGGGATGGCAGAAAAGGTTTTGAACCGGCGTTAGTCCGCCTCGGCCACTCTGTCCCCATGATATTATTATAATTCAAATCCATTTTATTCTTAGGATCGTGTTGATGAATTTGATTACAAAAAACCGTTGGAAGGACAAACCCAAGTACCAATTGAAAATCACTGGAGGAAGCATACACTTGCATGTATTAATCCAGACTCTGGAGAGGTTAGTATAATTTGAATTTTTTTCAAAATTCTATAAATTAATTTTTTTTTTTTTTTTAGATTAAATTAACTTATAGACCTGTAATTGATCACACATTGGATGAAGAAGAAGTGAAATCAGTGCCACCCATGATTAGATCTTATTAAGATTCACCCATCACTAATCAACTACTGCTCGTAACTCTAGTCTGCCCACTTTCAATCAAATCACAAAACAGCTCAAATTCTGTTTGCATTTAAGAATATGTATGAAAATCCTAAAATTAGGTATATCAGCAAATAATATCATACTGATTTATTAATACAAGTAGTTTTACGAGCAAAATTCAAAGAAGTATTAATAGTTAATAATAGTAAAAATCAATTTCATAAATCTATTGTTATTGTTTTATTTTGTTTATTACCTGTAAATAATTATTTCATCTGATTTCTTTATTGATATTGGTAAATGGTAATATATTATATTATAATTTTCAACAACCAAGAGTAAAATTTTTATAATTTATTGCTGTTGATTGTCCTTTATTTTGATTTTTTTTAAACAATTTACTAAAAAATACATTCAATGTTTATAAACCATATTATGTTATTCGTATAATTCATTTTTAAATTTATTTAGAAACATAGGTACTTATAAATTAATGAGTTATATATTATTCTTAATGCTTATATTAAAGTGTTACTAATCACATAATATTCAATTATATCTATGATAGAAACAGAATTGGGATTTTACTTATCAGTATTGTTGTTATTATTCTGATACTTTAATGGATAGACAATGTATATTAACTATAATAATATATCTATGATTTTATGGATTATGATAAAATAAAGTAATAACAATAAAATAATAATAATAATAATAATAATAATACAGCTATATGTATTATGATATTTGTACCTAAAGGCTAAAAAGTAGTATTATTAAGAATATATTAAATAAGCTACTATAAATAGTGGAATATGTGTGTGTGTTAGTAACTTACATTAGTGATATAATAGTTACAGTATTATATTATTATGTCTTAACATTTCTACCAATATGAACGTGTTTTATGGCTATTTTATCTGAAATTATAATTTTTAAACAGCAATATAGCATATACATCAAACCACTTAGTTAAATTAAATTTTATAATATTGTACTTGCATTTAAAAATAAAATAAATTTGGTAAATCAGTTTATATAATATGATTACACATATTTTTTAGTGCACTAAAGAAAGGTTTATAAATCTGATTTAATATTGGCTCATCCCTATAATCACATCTAAATTTAACTTTTTAAGGGCCAATTTCACCAATACAGTTAATCATGGTTAAAGTTAACCGGAGTTTAATCGGCCGAAATTAGCCGGTTGAATATCTATTATCAGCCGATTAAGCGTAATCATAGTTTAATCATGATTAACTGTGTTGGTGAAATCGGCCCTAAATTATGGATGCTGTACCAGTTAAGTATACATAATTTTGTAATACTTCTATAACATTAATAAAAATTGACATATTTTCGGAAAATAATAAAAATCCATCCATTTAAAATTTTAATGTCCCTGTAAGATTTAGATGGGCAACCTTTGAAATATCTATAAATTAATTCAAACATTTTTTTTGAGATCTTGCTGTTTATCAAATTTCCCATTGTAAATATGCCCCTATCCCCTTAAATCCACCACTACAACATACACAGACCAATAAATTATGAGTATGTCAAAAATTAAAAATTTTTAAATAATCAATATTTATTTCAAAATAAAAATATAAAAAAAATCTACAAAGGGCCTTTTAGATAAAATTCTCTCCTTTAAATTTTTTAATAGGTCGTCACTCAAATATTCCAAATTTAATAACAGGGTAAAATTGATTATTATGAACATACAATTTGGTAGTTATGCAGCATTGGGTAAATAACTTTAAAAGAGTAATACAATTACATTACTTGTTACATTAAATATTTTTATTTAAATTACATCCGCATTACCCAACATTATTTTTATCACGTTACTTTACTAATACATTAAAAAGTAGGATGATAAAATAACATTACTTTTTTAAAAAATGAATTACAAAATCAGCCCATAACGAATAATAGGTAATAAATACATTGTTAATGAGTAATGACCTAATGTTATACATGAACAAAAGTTAGAAGTATTATTTCCTGGGAACTTGAATAATATTGTTGATTATTATTTATTATAAAATCTTTTGGAATCGTAAATGAATTGTATTGATTATTAATTTTTCTCAAATATCCTGGTCCCTAGTTCTTATGATACATTCTACATTCATAACTTCACTTATTTGAATAACGTGAAAAATAACACGTTAATCCATAGAAATTACTTTTAAAAAGTTATTTCGTTACAATTGCGCCAATCTAAATAAAATTTATTGAAATTACTACAGCGTTACTGCAAAAGTAATTTTGTTACGTTACTACCCAACACTGTAGTTATGTTATGTTACATTAATAAAACGGAGACAAGTGACAACACACGCATAACTAATGTCCTCTCTTAAGTGTTTTAACTTTTAGTGTTATATAAATTGGTGAACGACATAATTATTATGGTAAAATGATAAATACCAAAAAAATGTAATAAAAGTAAATAGAACCTTACAAAGTATACTCTATACTTACACAATGAGTAAAATATAAAAATTATTATAATTATTATTTTGTATGGCGAAATACAAAAATGATGAAAAATTGTTATTAAATAAATAACTAAATGCTATAAAAATAGTGTGGCAGTGTAGTGTACTCGGTATATTATAATTTATGGGTACCTATATAGAAAGAGTAGATATTATATCGTATAATATAATATATATAAATATATTATATAATTATATTTATGAGTCATTATGGTAATGGTCAATCAATAAAAATATTGTTACATATTATTGCTAATGCAAAAGTACAAAATTAGGTTAATTTTTATTATAGTTCAATATCGAATATCTGGGATTAATTTAAAACTATAAATCAAAATTCAACCACAGAAGAAACAGTGGTACAAGTGTGCAACTATAATAGCAGTGTGATTTAAACTATAATTAAATTAGGTACTGTGATATGAATTATAGCAGGCCATCCCCCCCCCCACTTCCTCCCAATTGACTAAATTTTTTAATAATTTTTTACTATAATATAGGGCTAAAAATATGTATTTATAATATTAAAGTATTACCTAGAGTATAGGTAGTTATGATAATTAGTATTGATAGTATTACCTGATTGGCTGACCGTTAAAATATTACTACTAAATAGTAAATGGCGACTTATTCGATACATTAAGAACTAAAATAACTGTTATTTAATATTATGGTTCTTATGAATTATGATGTAAGTTTATGATTATATGAAACTGTATTCTATAATGAAAACGCAGATAATCAGCTTCAATTATAATATAAAAAAACATCAACAGGAAATAGATAGATTACCTGCTTATAATCTATATAATGTTGTTGATAAAATGTACCTATCTAATCTGAAATTATTTTAAACTTCACAAGTTACACAATTTTCATAATTTCGGATAAAACTATCAAATACGTTATACAGAGTGTCCTGTGAGGGTTAGCCGTAGAGGGGGACTGGCCGCCCGGAAAAAAACCTGTTGTTTGAGGTTTTACCTATAAACTAAAGAAAATTATTAAAAATCATGAAATGAATGAAAATAAAATGTGTGTAGTACTGTAGTCCTTGTCTCTGTGACTGTGAAAAATAAAAAAAACACATTCATAATATATTTATTATCTCAGGAGATATCACATTAGGTCAATCCTCGGGGGACACCCTGTACACAACGTAAGCCAAAAATAACATCTATAAATAATCAATAGGTTGTACCTATTGGCTAAATAGTAAATTGGCTATCCACTATTGCATTAATAATATTTCTACTTATTTCTGAATGATAACCATACAAAACAAAATGTTAAGAGTTGTGAATAGTAAGTTAAGTATAAAAATAGGTGGACTATACCTATATTGTTCATTAATTGAAAATAAATATTTCTCTTTATAAAATCTTAAATATTAAATTATTTTTATGAAAATGTATTTAACATCAATAAATGTTTAATTTTTAACTGTCAATCAAAAGTGGACTAAAGTGCATTTTACCACCCCATGCATATTTTTCGATTTTTTTTTTTTTGGAACTCAAGTAACTCATCGAGTTAAGAACGATGGTGCAATCAGAATTTGTCGCTCTCACTTAGTTTCGAAGTTATGACCCTTGGAAGTAAGCAATTTTGAGTTTTTTACGCATGAGCTCAACGCTACGTGTCACGTCTTTCACGATTTTTTTTTTTATTCGTGAGACTACTAAATAAAAAATAAACGAGTGAACAAACACGGGACTAAGAGAGGTTAACTTCACTAGAACGCAGCACTTGACGACTGACGTAATGACATTTTAATTGTGTATTAAAATATAGTTTCTTTAAAAATATAATGTAATCTAAAATCGTATTTATAATTGAATGATTATTTTAATTAGGTAATTATTATCAGGTAGGTAGGTACCTACAACCTACTATTATAGGTATAATGCAAGAATTATTTATTTAAACCAGATTGACTATTTCTACTTCCAGGAGAGGAATATTTTTAATTGTCCGAGCGAGCGAGTGACCCCCCTCGGTGACTCGGTGCAACAAAAATGCAATTTTCTTAACCCTGTGACCCACTTGGGGAGGTGTTTCATAGCAAATCGGGGGATAAATTATTATTGCACCATCGTTTTAAACAGGTTAGAATACGTGAGTACAAAAAAAGTAACAAAAATAGTCCTCCGAGCGGCATTATAGTAGTGAAAACTTTGGAAGGCCATAACTTCGAAACTAAGTGAGAGCTACAAATTCTGATTACACCATCGTGCTTAACTCGATGAGCTACATAAGTTCAAAAAAAAAATCGAAAAATTTGCATGGGGTGGTAAAGTGCACTTGTTCCCAAAAGTGTAAGGTTTTGAATTATCGACCTTCCAAATTTCCATTTTTAACAATAGACAAAATGTGTGTGGTATTGAACGATTTGAACGGTGTAAAATGTGCGGTTTTGAGCTATACCCTTAATATGAATATTTTGTTTAAGGATGATATATTGGTATGTGGTCTGGACTTTCTGTAGGTTCTATTCGACGTTCTGCACTATGCAGTAGCAGTATTATCATGACGAGCTTTAATTTTAGACTTTAGTTGCTATCCGGCGATCGGCCAGTAAGTACTTATGCAGGAAATTCTAAATCATGTATCTCATTAGATAATATTGATATACTTTCATAATAAATAGCTATAGCCTCTGAAGTCTAATGGTTCTGTAGTGGTGTAATACTGGTGTGGCTAAAGTGGACCTTTAAGTTTTCTCCGATATAATATTATTATTTAAATCATGTGGAATCGGGTGGTTGTGGACTATGGTTGCAACCATGGTTTATGGTTTTTGTTTTGGTTGCGCCCGTGGTTGCAACTGATGTTTTCACGCCGTTAATTGTCATCAGATTTTCAGTCACATTATTTTTGGCTAGTGTTACAAGTGTACCCGTTCTAATATTGTTTTTTCTATTTTTTGCCTCGTTGATTTTAGGGATGCGAGTATGCGACAGCGATTGAGCGATGAAGTTATGCATACTGTTCAGTGTTCACTGTTGATCATAGATAAATAATTATTAGGATTTTATTTATTTGGTATAGTATTGATTGAGTCTTTTAAACTTTATAACGTTGTTTGTACTTTGTTTGAATATGCTTGGCAGTGGCGCCGAACCTATAACCCTAGAGGAGCGATGGCCCACCCTCTTTTTCGCTGTGTGGATAGTCCGTGCATACCTAACTGTACCTACCCCTTGACCCTATAAAATGAGTACTTGGGTATTTACCTACATAAATATAAAAGGTAGGTATGTAACCATGTATGGTGCAAATTATGATGGGTAATAATTTTTGTTTCCCTCCAATTTAATTTGAGTTCGGCGTCACTGATGTTTGGTTATGTAAATTAGATCCTAGATTAAAGTTTTTTATTGACGTCGCTTCGAGCAACGTGGTCACTTTGACTGACAAAGATTTTTCTCTTCACTGTACATAATTAAATATAATCAAACCATTTTTAGTAAACTAAATGGGTATTATAATATTGTAATATGTAATTTCAAATTTGATTATTTGAACCAAACTGTATAGGCCTAATAATATATTTATAGGGGCTGGCTATTTTACCCGACCTCTGCGGATAAAGTGGCCACTTTGCAGTTTAATTTTATACCGAACATTCCCAAATTTTAATCAAAAAAAAAGATGCATATAAAGTTTAAGATGTTGTATAGTTGCTATTTGAATATTCTTTTATTTTTATTTTTTTGATTAAAAGTATAAAAAAACCTATTAGAGATTAGAGTGTGGCCATTTTCCCCCTACCTAAATATAGACTATTTAGAATATTTTGATGGACACACTAGAATAAATTGCCTCCGAAAGCAATCGGACTCTAGAGGCAATTTAAATTAAAAAAGCGGATGTTGTCTTATTCTGAATAGAGTACCTATGTAGATCAAATTTGGCATCAGAAACCGAACTCGGTATTGTAGACTGAAGCATATTTTCTGCACCAAAACGTGATGATGTACACAAAACTAAAAATACATTACTTGTTGAACCACTTAAAAACTTAATAAAAAAAGGTGGATAAGTGGATGTCGCTCAGCTGTACAGTAGGTTACAAGTGTGTCACTGTATAATGGATGTTATTACCTAAATTTTAATTCAATAATATATTATCATTGTATACGAAAAACGATTCTGACCAGAGACGGTTTGTCAGTGAGGATATTTTATAGGTATTATATTTATATTGTTATTACTTATAATTATTATGGTAGCCGGTAAGTTGAATATAATATTATAAAATTATAACAAAATAACTAAAATTGTTAATCTTGGTAGTTGGTTATTTAATATGTAATTTCGTCCAATTTGAACATAAAATAACAATAAAAAAAAAACTGTGTATTTATATTTTTGAGATTTTTTGGTTACAGAATAAACTATTTACTTGAAACTTTGTTTTAAATTTTCAATCCTTAGCTATTTATATGTTGAACATTTTATACATTTTTCACTACAAAATCATTTTTAAATTTGATAAATTATGTTGTCAAAAAAAACTTTAAATTGTGCATATGTATTTTTAATATTTTTCAACTGCTATTGTAACAATATATCAGGAGCTTGTATTACATTTTCACGCTTTGTGACCCAACAAATAACTTTATTGACATTTATAGAATAAACTAAAATAATTAAAAGTTGAAAATGTCTGTAAACAGCTCGAAAACAGTCAAAATATTTAAAAAGTTTTATCAAGTATAGAAAATGATAAAATAAACATAAAGTGTAAATTTTAAGTATCTGCATTTATTCGTTTTTGAATTTCAACAAAAGAAGAAAATCGAGGGAAGATCCAATTTGTAAAAACTTTGAAGTTTCATAAAAATTAAATTCGACTTTCCGATAGACATTTTATTTTTGATAAAAGTAGAGAATCTTATGAGGAATCTTTTATACAATTTTCAAATCTTAGATCTAAAAATTTCTAAATTTCTAAATTTCTAACTCAAAATTATTTGAGCGAGGATGATATAAGAAGGACAATCCTAAATTGGAAACCAATGGGAAAGAGACCGCCAGGAAGACCCAGGAAAAGGTGGTTGGATGTTGTGGAAGAAGACTTTGAAAGATTGGAAGTACAGGAATGGAGAGAAGTAGTTTAGGACCTTGAAAAATGGTGAGATATTGTGATGGTGGTCAAAACTCTTAGAGAGTACTAACTACTAAGTACCAGAGAAAGAAGAAAAACTCAAAATTATTTGCACATTTTCGTGATTTTTACTTATTTTGTCAATATTTGAACTTTAAATGCTTATATAAAAAAAAATTATAACTGTATTTTTTATATTTTTTTTTTTAATTGCCACTTGAACAATGTATTAGGAGCCTTGTATTACATTTTCAAGTTTTTTGACCCAACTAATAACATTTCATTGACATTTTATAGAAAAAAAAAAAAATTGGAAACTGAAAATGTTCGTAAACAGCCAAACCTGCAAGTCAAAATATTTTGAACACTTTATGGTATATAGAACATTCTAATATAAACATACAGTGGAAGTTTCATTTATCAACGGTCGTTTGTTTTAGAGTCATACCTTACACTAAGAACCAAAATTGATTTTGTCTATAACCGATTTTGCGTAAAAATTCCTGTTTTTCCTTTATTTTTATTTGTTTTTCCCGGCGCTTTCGAAAACTACTGGGACCTGCCCAATTCACTAACTAGATTCATTTTCCCATCGAACAAGATACTGATGTTGAAAATTGAAGCATTATTTCGACTACTTATAGTGTACATAAACACAAAAAAAATTTAAAAAAAATAGAAATGCACACATTATTGTAAAATCTATACATTCATTGCTCTGCTCAGAGCCTCAGAATCTAAAATCTGCTTTACTGTAGGCGTCTAGTGTACCTCATCATAGAGTAAGTCACTCCTAAGGGCTAATAGTATGATACCTATTTTAATATCATGCAGAATTAACTTATTATATAGTTATTTGTAATAACAAATTACTTCAAAAACCACAGATATGAAATTATTATAAGAATAGATATTTTATATCTGTGTCAAAAACATTCACCGACCACTAATTACTGAAGTACTTTTCATGCAGTTAATAGTAATAAGTAATAACAATTAAATTAATAGACATAGCCACATAGCCGATAGGTAATAAAGTAAAATAATAAAACAAGTGCCCGCTTAATAGTTAATACTTACTTATCTATATAGAAGCTACCTTTACCACTTATCAAATTAAATTAATTTATATTTATGTATTCAATTTACTTTGAGTCTATACAATGTTAATTTTTAAATAAAAACATTGTATTATTATAAATAAATAATGATAATAATTAGCATATTAAAATATTGACCACACCATCTTTGGCTAACCCGCAGTCTGAGCATATATAGGTATTCCTAATAATATAGAATTTAATTATCATACCTTGAGAATTGTGGTATACAAGTGTCAAGTATATCCATAGCTCAGTTATGTACTCATGGATGAAAAGTAGCTGCTAGTAGGATTCAGCTAACCATGGTTCAAGACTCTTGAGTCTCGAATATATTTGGAAATCACAGTTTATATTATAGGGATTTACGAAAAATCATAAAGGAACATTTATAATTAAACGTGCTGTCAATATGAACTATTAACAGCAAATGCCTTCATACATACCTGAGGCACTCGGAGCCGGCGCTAAAATTTACGGGCCCCTAACATAATTGTTTGTGATGCCCCTAATTCCAAAAATAGATCTTTCAGATATAGTAGTAGTTCGAGCGTGAACGCAGATATATGTTTAGTGTATAAGCTGCAGTGTGCATATATCTAGTCAATGTGAAATTACCACTACCACTACCATAAGTTCAATAAAATTGCTCCTCTAATTCTAATGCAAATGGTATTAAGTTGATAAATTCGTATTGCATCAAGTCAGAACTTGTTAAAAAAAAAATTTGTTTTCTTGCCAAATTAGTAATTACATCGTTATCTATAAATTATTTAATCATCATTCAAATTTAGTGTAAAAAGTTTTACTTTATTTGCTGCATTCATCACTTCACGGCGTGATATCAACCATCAACCCATTATATTCACAAATTTACAATATTTGTATGAACCAGAACCTTATAACTTATAAGCTATGCGTTATCGTATACATATTAATTATTATATTATACTCGTATAACATATGTAAATATATATTATAGTAATGTCTTGGAATTCAAGTTCTAAAATATTTCAAACTTGCTATGTGGATATAATAAGTCATAAGTGGCTTATTATTATTAAGACGTATAAGTACATATAAAAATGTATAATAGCCAATAGGCAATAGGTATTTATATATATATAAATAATACTATGGAAATATTTACTCATAAAATATCCTATACTGCAGTTATTGAAACTGTCAAATATAGATTGAATATTAGTCGATTATAAATTTATAACATCTCTCAATTATTCCGGGTGTACATTTCACGAATATTGGACATTTTTTCATAATATTAATGAAAATAATTAAATAATAATATATAGTCTACTCGTTGAGCTAATAAATAATTACATAAGACGATCACGTATCTAAATATACAGGGAACGTCGTTGTTAAAATTATTACGTTGAACTCATTTATTTTGTACCCGGGGTTTTATTTCGGTCGTTTAAAGGTAGCTGATTTGTTGTGTATATATTATTCGAGCAGATTATCGTCTTGTCTGAAGAAATTGGCTTTGTACGACGACTATGCCTGCAGAAGGACACAATTTATTATTTTTTTACACACTTTTACAGCGATAGTGCGAGTGTGTGTATACTCTAATACTGTGTGTATAGACCGTAGGTATGCGCACGTCATATATATAGGTACCTCTTTCTCCGCGGTAAATAACGATCGTATGACGTATCTATAGGTATGTGTAATCGAGAGCGCGCGCGTTTATACACTCGTATAGATCTATATTTATACAATAAATATACCGTGCATGCATGTTTGTAGC